GTTATTCTAAAATAGCTTCTTTTTTTACTTCAATTTTTTCAAACTATGAATCAACCCCAAAACCCCAAAACCCCTTTGAGGTAATTTCTGAGCAGAGTATTTATGAAATTAAGATATGATTTAAATTTTGTCATTTTAAGTTTGATTGATTCAGTTAAGGAATTTGGAAATTTGTTTTTCAACAACTTTATCATTCTCAGCAGAAGAAAGGATAATATTGAGTATTTTCTTAGCTGTGATTGGATGATAAAATGTTTGAGATTCCTTGAACCACTGATAAGCAAGGTTTCTCTTTCCATATCTAACTAAGTTCTAGTAGATAGGTAAAATATATTTTTGTCTTCCTATTCTTCCAACAAACTTATGAGCTGCATCAAGGCATTTATCGTAGCCAACTGCAATACATAATGGGAACCATCTTTAACCGATTTCTGGGTTAATATCTAGAGTTGTATTCAAATCTTTGTCAATTCTGTCAAGCACATCATAGGTGACATCAGATTATCTGCTAAGCAGTTGATTTTAGAAAACAGTTTTAATTTGAGGATCAACAGCCTTAGTGTAATCTTCAATATTAGTTGGAGATTGCTAGCCAAAGTTATCAATGTAGAAGTTGGCCATTGCAGTCATTTTTGTAGCAGCGTCAGTAGTGAAATCTAATCCATTGTCTTTAGGAATAGCTCCGGGTGTCTGGACCCAACCAACCCAGTTAACTTTAGCTAGAAGATTTGTGCCTTTGTCTCCTGGGTACAAAGTAGTTATGAAATCTTTAAAGGCAATTCTTAACTCTAAGAAAGTAACAGATTGAAGATGGAATCTATGAACGTAGTATCTTAGGAAAGCTTGGAAATCCGCAGGCTTGTCCATTTAATTTTCTAAATACTTTAAGAACTGGAAGCCTTTTTCATAAGGAACTTCTGAGGAGCTTATTTCTGGATCCTATCCATTCATTATAGGATAGAGACTTGAATATGAGTTACTAAGTCCGTATCCATTCATATCATCCCAAGCAGATTGGTTGCCAAGTTGACTTCCAAGTTTAGAAAAATCTGGTCCATGCACTCCAGCTGAAACATGTCTTTCGATAAACACAGTGAATCCTTCATTCAACCAGAAATTAGACCAATCTCTGCAAGTGACTTCATTACCAGTCCAAGAGTGACCAATCTCATGAGTAGCAACATAAACTTATGAGCCATCTCCAACAATAATTGTTGGTGAGGCGAAAGTTAATAGGGGATTTTCCATGCCCCCAATAGGGAAACTAGGCGGCTAAACAATAATAGTATATGATCCCCAGATGTAAGTACCCATATAGTCCTCAGATAGTTAAAGTAGCGTATTAAGGTCCTGAAGTTCTTTAGCATCATCGACAATTGTTGTAGGCTCAGTTATGACACTAGTCCTTGTCCCGATTCTTTTAGATATAAGATTTCCAATTGAGATAGCCAAAAGATATGATGGAATGGGAATAGGCTGGGCGAATGAGTATTAAAACTAGTTTGTGTTGACTACCTTCATTTAAGTGAAATTAGCACTCATGTTCACTACGTATGGCTAGTCTACTGTAACCTTTGAGGTGTAAGTAGCTCTTACTGATGGCGTATCCTATAGTGGAGCAAATGATCTGCAATTAATTGGTTGACACTCAGTAAACATGTAAGCTAATGTCTTGCTAGCAGTCTACTCCTTGGTTAGCCAGTTGATAGCAGTAGAATCAGTGGTAGTTTAATAGGATATTTTAACAAAGATGAGGTCTCCTAAGAAAATTTTATCGGTTAGATAAATTCTAAGAGCAGTTCCGAGTTGCTTATCGATGTAAGTTTCATAATTTGCTGGCACATAGACAGCTTTTTCATCATTTGTAAAGGAATACCAAGCATCTTTGATAATTATACCTTGAGTATCTAATATGATTTCAGATGTATCTCTTAAAGCTTTCATACTCAAGAGATTAGTACCATATACCGATTTTTGGTTGAAATCAACAGTTATGTCAAGATCAAAATTAGTAGTTTGAATAACTTCTACATTCGCATAGGAGCTTGGATCAATAGATGACACTCTAAAAGGGTAATTATTGAATTAGCAAGTTGCTACTCCTAATAACTATACCCAGAATCCTAGTTTGCTTAATTTTACCATAAATTATAATAATTAATTAAATGGATTTGTTTCTATTCATTCTGACCTAATTGAATATGGCTTGAGGGGTTTTGGGGTTTTGGGGTTTTGGGG